CTTCTGGAGCCCCAGAGCCACACAATTCTGGGGCTGCTTGTCACCCCGCAAGGCAGGGTGCAGGGCGGCCAAAAGGGCATGGGTGGAGGGAGATGGGTGGGGGGAGTTGAAGTGCCCCTGGGATCGTAAGTGGGGGCAGGCTGCCAAATGCCCGAATTTTGATCCCATGAACGTGGGGGTGCCGCAACAGCTATAACTTCGGGTGCGGGTCATAAGTCCTTTTGTTCAGTGCCGCCTTAATTTCAAACAGTCACTGAACAAATGATCATAAGTCAAGGACTACCTGTATTTGATTTCAGTCTGTAATCATCTCTTACTGATTGCATTGTGGGTTGGGCTTCATCAGATAAATGGACTCCTTGCAATCACTGTTTGTCTTCAGGAGGTATTTGTGGTTGACAGCTTCTTATGAAAGAAATGGAAGCTCAGACTGGGGAATAAAGTTTGTACAACCCTAGACAAAAGTTAACCTGGTTAAGGAATGCTGACTTGGGTGGAAGAGAATCTGAGATCAAGAGCTATGATACATAGTGACTGAAGGAAGGTGTTTAGGCACTGGATTTTCTTAATCAGGTAGACTGCTGCTTTGGGGTGAGAAGTTAAGAATATGTGAAAGCAGCTTTTGCAAAGTGGTGGATCCAGGCACAAGAAGGGCTATATATTCTTGTCTGGAAAATTAAAGGGTCTCCGGAGCTTCCCATTTGGATCGGAACCTTGACAAGACCTTCATCCTGGTTGATGTAAGTAGGCAGTTCTTATTTCCTGTTGTTTGTTCTGGTCTAATTACTTCCATGACTCTTAAAAGGTGCTACAAATAGAGTTTTTGCTTCCTATTTAATAATCACATTTGTCTCCAAATCATGCTTTAACACTTACCGCTTGATAGCATTAAAAAAAGTATTTTTTCTCACTTTCACAGAGCTATTGAAATAGTACTATGAATGGTGAAACTAGAGCAGAGGTGGTAACTTCACCACCCCCAACAGCTCCTCATAAAGAGAGATATTTTGATAGAGTTGATGAAAATAACCCGGACTACTTGCGAGAGAGGAATATGGCTCCTGACCTTCGCCAGGATTTCAATATGATGGAACAGAAGAAGAGAGTATCCATGATTCTTCAAAGTCCAGTAAGAATGCATAATCGTTTTTCACTATGCATGACCAAGCAAAGATGCATACATAACGAGTTAGATCATAAGAATACACAGCATACTACCAAAAAAACTGGAGAAAATTTAATTTTACATTTAATTAATTAAGTTAAAGTAAATGCTCTGTGTTTTAAAGAAATTTCCGAAAAGATTGTTTTAATGTGTGACTTAATCCAGAAAGTCTTTTAAAGTGCACACGTGTATAACTGTTTCCTTGAAAAGGACTGGTGGTCTCTGTTTTGTAGTTCAGATTTCTAATGCAGATTCTGACTCATTTGGGGAAAAGGTTCTGTGTAGGTGAAAAAGCCTGAAATAGCCTTTGAATCTGTCCAGCAAGCAATATGTTTTTTTTTCCTTCTGTTACTGAACTAAATTGGAGGTAAAACACTGGAGTGTTACATTCTAGTGCTATGGTGCTTAGACTTCAGACAATTCAGGGCTGCTTCAGCCCAAATTATTTCTTATGTAAGATATTTTTCATCAGTACAATCACAGGTTATGCAATATTGTGTGACACCCTCCCCCCTTGAGATGTCCTATAATCAGCTTTTCAAGTGGGTCACTGCGAAGAGGGTGGGTATTTCACCAGGACAGTGATCCAAAGCATGCCAGGAAGGTTGGTTGCTTTTGGGAAAGGCTTCAGGTTCCTCAGAGTCGAATAGGGATCTCAGAGATGCCATATGGGCCTTTTCTGAGTTAAGAGATGTCTTCAAGGAAGAGTGGGAAGTTCTGAAATATTTGATAGATATTATCTGTGCTGAAGAAGATACAAAGTCCTGACTGAAAGGGTGTTCAAACTTTGTACCTGCCATACTCACTTAATTTCTTGCTTTGAATAAATAGTAAATATTCAAATTTGCAGAAAGATGTAGTGCTGAGCTTTGTATCCTGTAGAGATTATATTCACTTACAGCAGCAGTTCTCAAAGTTGAAGGGGGTCCATGAAGTCAGATATTTTAAAATTTCTCAGTTTTAATTTCTAATATGGTAAATATCGATAGATATAACCCACATAAACCAAAACTCTTTGGGGTCCTTGATCATTTTTAAGAATGTAAAATGTTTCTGAGACCAAAATGTTTGAGAACTGCTGATTTAGAGATTCATTGAAACATACAGTTTTGCCATTGGTGCTTAAAGTATAAAGATATTTATTTATTTATTTATTTACTTACTTACTCAATTTATGTAGTCGCCCATCTCACTTTTATGTGACCCTAGGCAGCTTACAATAAATCAAATAAAAAAACAAAATACATAATATAAAACAAAAATAACGTAGCAGCTGGGCACGATCTAATCTATCATCCATACAACCCAGAGACGGGCTCTAACAGTTGCCCAGGGCCCAGGCTCAAACACAAAGCCAGGTTTTCAAGGTCTTGTGAAAGTCAACAGGGACGGGGTCAGTCTAACCTCAGGGGGAGTGATGTTCCAAAGGCCGGATGCCACGGCAGAAAAGGCTCTCCTTCTGGGCCCCACCAGCCAACACTCCCTAGCTGACTGTACCCAGAGCCTGTCCATCTTGCCAGTTCGGATAGGATGGGTAGAAACAATTGGGGAGAGGCAGTCCCGTAAGTAACCCGGTCCTAAGCCATATATGTAACATATATGGCTTAATTAAAGGAAGAGGAACTTTTGGTAGTAAAATAAATACAGATAACAGTTGTTTAAAAGGTACTGGAGTAAGCAGCAGATGAGCTTATTTGGGTGAAAGAGGAAGTGTTTTCTTCATGAAGCAACACAGCAGGGAAGCACTTTGGAGAGTCCCTTCTACCTGGAGGCTGCCAGTGGATCCAGGGCCAGACTTACCTGGGGAAAAGAAATTGAGGTTTTCCATGGGGATATCCAGTCTCCCATTTAGATGGCAGCAATACAGAGGAAAAGACTTGGAAGAAGAACACAAGTAAAGTCACTTGACATTCAGCAACATTTTAATGTGCAATGTTCCTTTGTTATTAGGCATTTTGTGAAGAGTTGGAATCGATGATCCAGGAACAATTTAAGAAAGGAAAGAATCCAACAGGCTTGCTGGCTCTACAACAGATTGCAGACTTCATGACAGCAAATGTTCCCAATGTCTACCCAGCAGCTCCTCAAGGAGGCATGACTGCCTTAAATATGAGTGAGTTTGAAGGGGGGGGAAAGGGCTGAAGACTACATCAGCTGTATACTAATGAGGATGTAATTTATTAAGTTGTGAAACAATACTTGCTTTCATTAAGCATTGGCTACGATGCTACGGTGCATAATTTCTTGTTAGGATTGGTGGTTTTGGGCCAGCTTGAGCACCCTCACACATTCCAAAAAGGGGTGGGACCAGGGTGAAAAAATAGCTGGGGCCAAGAGTAGGGTTCACCATTGCTGTTACCATCTGGATTGCTCCTGCTCCTTCCCGCTCCTCCTCCTCTCCTGCTCCATGTCTATTGTCACCATTAGTAATAACCCTAGCCTGACTCTCTGCTCCTGGAGTTTCAGCCATGGTCGTGGTCCTGCTCCTGTTTTTGGGAGACATGGAACCAATTACTGCCCTTTTTGTTCAGATTGGCGCAATGGTGTAATGATGCCTCTTGTAAGGACCAGCACAGGCAAATGGTGGCAGTCCTGTTCCTCCCCTTCTATCAGATGCTTCGGGGATGACCTCCAGGAGAGTAGCTAAATTCACTATTGCTGTTTATCGCGAGATACTCTAGTTTCTCCTGTTTGGAATCTTACGGGCCCCAGCCAGCGTTTTAAAACCATCATCATCTTACGGTTTCAGAATGGGAAGTGGTCGTTTGGGTTCATTCACTTATGCTTGTCTTCCTAGAGCTGTGGCTTGACTAGCTTAAATTTTTAGTATTTTACTATTTTTGTATTTTAGCAGTTGGCAAGTTGCTTAATAATTTTAGTAACACACTAAATTTGAGAGTTGCTGAGATGGAGCTGCGTTACTGGACGTGTCTTTTTCTTTCAGGCCTTGGCATGGTGACCCCTGTGAACGATCTCCGGGGATCAGATTCCATTGCCTATGAGAAAGGAGAGAAGTTACTGCGGTGCAAGTTGGCAGCTTTCTACAGACTCGCTGACCTCTTTGGCTGGTCACAGCTTATTTACAATCACATCACCGTGAGTGTATAAATCTCATAGATGTCTTCATTTTATTTATATATATATATCACCAGTGGATGCAACTCACAGTGTTTTGTATTTATTTGTTTAGAAAACTTATATGGCCACTGATCTTGTGCATGATAATCCTAGGTGGCTCACAATGACATCCAATAAAATCAGAATAAATGTAACACACAAAACCCCACCACATCATCACATCTCCCATCACAATGCCACATCCCTCCCTCCCTCCTCTGCCCTTCTGACACTTTGCTGGGAAATTGTCTGGAAACTTGGCAGAGCCAGAGCACCTGCCTGTGATGTAAAATGAGTAGTTGCAAGTCACAGTAGGGCTTTCCCTGCACTAGTATGGAAATAGTGTGAATGGCTGCCGAGAGCCAGGGAAATGGCTGGACGCAAATATTCAGAATCCATTGCATAAACAAAAAGGACAGAAGCCTTTGCTAAGTCCTAGGAAGGGAGATATTGCTAAAAAGAAACTCTCACTGACTCCCCCCAACTTACTCAGGTATAAAAGAAAGGGGAAGGGAAGCTCAGTGAGACTTGCCAGGTTCCGTTTCTTAATTAAGTATAGTCCTAGTCTTCCTGTGGAGTCAGTTTCTTAGTCTGGTCTACACTTAGGTGTCTCTGCTCTCGGATGTGAGCAGGATTGGTTCTTCTGGCTGAGTCCTCCCCTTCTCCTCACATAGGGAGGTAGGATATATCAGCCAGCACTGCAGAGGAAGAAGGCCCAGTTTCTCCTCAGAAACCCCAAAAAACCTGACCCCAGCTAAGCAAGAAGCAGGGTTGGGCATCACTGAGGAAAAAGAGAGTCCCGTTTTCAGGAATGGTTCCAAACTATAATATATAAGGCAGATCCCTGCCATCGCATAGGGGAGAGACCGAGGCATCTGCCCCGGCAGACCAAGGGCCTCCTTCCCTTCATGAACACGAAGGAAAGGGTGGAGCCGCAGGGACAGCGGGAGATCCAGGCGCAGGAGTGCCACAGGGCTGGGAAAGCTTTGTAGCAAATCTGTTCTATCTTCCCATTGTGTTGGATGTTTGTAAGAAGCACTCCCTGGGGGCGATCGGGAACTAGATGAAACGGATGAGAGAATTCCCAGCCCTCAACTTAATCTCGAGGCCTTGATAGCTCTAGCTGGGCCCCTGCTCATGTTTGGGACTTGGTCACTTAAGACAAGAGGGAAGCGATATTATGGCCTGGGTTGGATTGTGCTCAGTTGCCAGGATAATAGGACTTTCTATCTATTTATTCGTTCATTTATTAGATATGTCACCGCCAAATCAGGAATACTAAGAACTACTTATGTTAAAAATTCAATAAAAACAATCAGAATGTGAAAGATGCAAATTAAACACTATGACAAAGTGCATTTTAAAAAATAGTTTCAGCCCCCCTTCATCAGTTAACATTCAGCAGGGCCACCAAATGGTGTAATATTGTCTTGCTTGCTCAAGCCTCACACTGTAAGCACTTTTTTGAGAGCATTTACTATCTTCTGATAATAAGGACAAAATAGCCTGTTTCAAGAGCTCAGTGCCAAGAGCGTTTCAAAATGGAGGCCTCGAGGTCAGTAGTTGGAGCCAGTAGATATTTTAGATGCGACTTTGCATTCAATTCAAAGGTACATAAGTTTTCTCATGTTCTACTAATCATTCTCAATATTGGACTCTTGACTGGATATAATATATACCACTTCTATTAAGGCCTACCTCATGGCGGTAAGAGTGGCAAAGTGCCAGTACTTCTCTGCTCTTATTGCATCTGTGGATAGCTGTTTAAGGTGACTTGGCCCCTCCAGGGTAAGTGGGGGTGGGCAGAAGTTCACCTTTGGAGCCGCATGGAGGAATATGCTAGGTGTCTATTGGACAAAATTGCTTGAATCCACTTCTAGTTGGACTCTAGCCTTGGTACAGGTCCTATGGAAATACCTGGGACTCAGTTTTGCCTTTTCATCTGGGATAAGTTTGATCCTGTTGGGCCTGATGAAGCAGACAGGGTCCTTGTGACCGTGAGTTTGGCCACTTCCTTGTTAGGTCCACATCCCTCCTGATTGGTGAAGGCCTCTCAGGAGGTGATGTGTGGCTGACTTTTGGTGGTGGTAAACTCTTCCTTAAAAGTGTCCCTCTGCTGGTTCGCCCCCTGCTCAAGAGGAAGCCATTGCTATACTGGACAATTTTCATCCAGTATTGAGTGAGAAAATGGTCACTCAATAGCTTCAAAAGATCCTGGATGAAATGGATTATCTGGACCCCTTTCAATCCAGTTTCAGAACTGTTTGTGGGACAGAGGCAGTATTGGTCACACTTTTGAATGACATCTGGCGAGAGCAGGGTGAATCCTTCCTAGCTCTTCTTGAGCCTCAGCAGCCTTTGATACCATTGACCATGGTATCCTTATGGATCGGCTGAGGGGGTTGCAGGTGGGGGGCACTATATTGTGCTGGTTCTCTTCCTTCCTCTGAGGCCAGTTCTAGTCGGTGTTGATTGGGAGTGAGAGGTCCTGGCCTTGATCATGCACTGTGGTGTTCCACAGGGCTCTCCCCATTCCTGTTTAATATCTACATGAAACTACTGGGTGAGATCGTCCAACGTCATGAGATGGGATATCCTCAGTATGCTGATGATACCCAGCTTTGCATCTCCACCTCTGCCGAATTAAGCAATGCTATTGATGTCCTGTCCTGGCATCTGGTGGCTGTGGGGTTCGGATGGGGAACAACAGGCTTCAGCTCAACCGTGGCAAGACTGAGTGGCTTTGGGTTTTGGGGTCTTCTGGTTCCATGGATTTACTCTCTCTTATTCTGGATGGGGTGGCACTGCCCCAAACAGACATGGTGCGCAATCTGGGGGTCTTTCTGGGCTTGCAACTCCTGCTCAAAGAGCAGGTTGCAGCCATGGCCAGGAGGGCCTTTGCACAGTTGCACGTTGTGCACAAGTTGTGCCCTTTCTTGGACCAGGAGGCTCTTCTCTCTTTCACTCATGCCCTAGTTACCTCCGAAACGGATTACTATAACATGCTCTGTGTGGGGCTGTCCTCGAAGAGTATTTGGAAGCTGCAGCTGGTGCAAAATGCAGCAGTGCAGGTAGTTAGGGGCACTCCTTGAGTAGTGCATATTACACCTCTGTTCCGCGAGCTGCATTGGCTCGCAGTGTGCTTCCAGGTGTAATCCAAGGTGCTGGTCTTGTATGGCATAGGACCAGGATATTTGAGGGAGCGCTTCTCCCCAGTTACATCTGCCCATCCCATCAGATCCGGCAGGAGAGGCACGGTACAGGTCCTGTCTTTGAAAGAGATTGGCGCCTGGAACTTAGATCAGCCCCTGGCATCATTCCCCTGGAACGTAGGTTGGCCCCTGCCCTTCTGGCCTTGGCTTTGCCATCTTGCCAGGGGAGGGTGGTGTGGAGCCTGCTAAATGGCTATATTATTAGTAGGATTGCATTCTTGCAGATTATATTTTTTATGTTTTTAAAAGCTTCTATTTTAATGTGTTTTAATGGTTTTTGCTGTATGACTTTGGTTATTGTATTATTATTATTTGTGTTCAGTGTCACATGTGCAAGATGGGCGGCTATATAAATTGAAAAATGAATAAATAAAAAATGCCTGATGCATATGTGCAAAACCTATTGTTCTGGGAACAGAATGGTGGTAGTCTGGTAATTTTCTGAACTGGTAGTGATTTGTGATATTCCAGATGAAACAAGTCTGATTTGTGGATAGACCACGCGCGGTCTTCATAAACTTCAGTGTTTTAAAGATTAACTTCCAGAAAGCTGTTTGACTGATGGGGAATTTTCTGGGCATCTGGATGAGTGTTTCCCAAACTAGGCAACTCTGTGATGTGTGGACTTCAACTCCCAGAATTCCTTAGCCAATATGGCTGTGGGAGAGTACATGTAATGTTACCCCATCTTGGCCCTCCTTTCAAGATTCCTGCCTCTCATCTGCCATCAGTCCTTTCTGAAAACTGCTGTTTCCCTTCCCTGTAGAGGGGCAGGGACGTGGCTTTGTAGAAAATATGCAGCAGCCATTAGTAAACATGAGGTAGCCCAGGAAAACAAGAAGAGTGAGGAAGAATCTCAGGATTGCCCCACCTTGACTCACTTTGGTATGAGAGGGAAGGAAGGGAAAACAATGGCAGGCTTTCAAGATTCTATTATTATAACCTATACCAATAAAGTGGAGTTGTAGAGTTGCTTCTGGACAGTATATAAATTCATATTTCTGTTTTGAATTTGCTGATAAGATTGGCGAAATCTTATTGGAGAGCACTTCTGACATGGTTGATGTTTGCTTGTTTAGAAGACATATAAACTAGCTTCATTCCTTGGTTCAGGTTCAGACTGTGGATTCCTTTGGCCTTCATGCTTAAGGGTGGATATTAGGTTTGCTGTTTGCGCTGAGATCCAGAACAGCAGCGGTCTCTTTGCTAAAACCTGCAGCCTGTTTGCGAATACGGAATGGGCCAACGTGTTAGTGAAGTTAAGCATTGCTCTGCTGAGGAAACAAAACTAGGAGGGTAATTTGGTGCTGTTGGAGAGGACTTCAGGACCGCATTTGCAATTCAGCATTTAATTCTCTTTTTGATCTATAGATTTCTCAGCATATCTGAGTTTTGTACATTTCAAGTTGTGGATATGTTTACTTTTTATTTCCTCATATTTTTAGGTCAGAGTAAACTTGGAGCAAGAACATTTTCTGATTGTGCCTTTTGGACTTCTCTATAGTGAGGTTACTGCATCTAGTTTGGTAAGTGAAAAATTAAAAAACCAAAATTCTTGAATGTCTTAAACCATGGTTACTAATTGGAGCAAGCTAGTGACAGCTGATGTCAAGGCAGCACGTTTACATTTTGGGTTGGAGTCTTCTTTAAGCCTTTTGTTAAATACCAAGATATCCAGAGCAATATGTGTGATGATGACTGCTGGCCTGTTTCGCTTCCTGTGGCCAATAGTTAATGAGACACTCAGCAGAACTGCCTGCTGAATTGCTGGGAAGCTTGTGTCTGTCAGCAGCCATCAGACATCTGGGGCGGAGCATCCTAATGGGCCTCTTTGCCCCATGGAAGTCCCAGCTGGATTCACCTGGACTCATCTGTTGCTTGTGAGCTCTGCCGAACTGCTCATTCCAAAAGCTTCCTTCATGCTCAGTCATGAAACACTGCCTTGTTCTTTTATTTGTTGTTCTCCTTCTTGGTGATATTTTTATGCATTTTATATTTTCTCTGAGGAGCATGTAAAATGATTTGAACTTGTTTTCTTCCTGCATTTGGGACCATCATTTTAATAGTTGTTACCTCAGAGACATGGATCAGTGAACTTTGAGTCTCTCCAGGAGCTCACCTCATGTGCCTCTTGAGAAGGACTCAGTTATGTCAGGCTTCCATGTGAGTCAGAAAGCAAAACTGCCCCTCTTGTGTTCCAGTCTCAAGGTTGAGCCAGAGTGAGTGTTGCTCGCACATCTCAGAGGTGCGAAGGACTTAGGACTGGAACTGGGTCCTGAGGACTTGAGCTGCATTTATTCACAGGCCGGTAGGGTCCTTATCTTATAAATAGGTATCGGCACCATTCCATTCTCTCCAAGTGACATTTTATATTCCACAACCAGCTGGTCATTCCACACCAATCATTTTTGATTCTGGAAAATCTCTTTGGTAGATCTTTCTAGAACAGCTACATGATTTCATTTTCTTTCATCAGGGGCAATCTTCAGCCATGCCACAAAACCGTTTTAACATATCTGCCCACATCAAGCTCCAGATAAGTTAGCTCAGCAATTTTCTATAAACGTGGCTGCACAGAAACCGTAAAGAAAAAAAAAGGCTCATTCTTCACATGGTGTGGTCTAGTTCGCCAATCTGCCCTGCAAGCTCCTGGATGGGTTTGAGAGCAGGAAGAAAACTGACTGCAGAGGGGGCAGGTCCTGAAGCAAATACCAGCATCTAGAAGTTTTCAGAATGTCCTCCGCAAGCCAGAACCTGAGTCTGAGGAAGCAGAGAATACCTGCTGGGTGTCCCCAGCTATTGAGAGGGGTGGCAGAAGGGGGCTGAAACTGGGCATTCTCTGGGGAGGCTCTCCTCCCCTAGAAGAGCTACACCGTACTCCCCTGGTTTTCCAGAAGATGAGAAAAACTTGGCTATTCCAGAAGGCCTCTGGTTTGAGCACTGTAGAGCTCCCAGTGCCAGGCAAATGATACCAGTTATCATTCTTTCCGTGATTTTCTTTTTTATTTCTGTTACTGGATGCTGTTCCATGCTATTACTATTATTCCCTTGGCTGTGGCTGCTATTTTTGTATATGCCTTGACTGAAGCAGTTTATAAATTCACAAGTAAATAAAATAAAAGATAACTTGATCATTGCTAATTAAAGGTAAGCCATCTTGACATTGGTTCTACCTTAAGCTTTCAAACAGATGTGAAATAGCTCAAAGTCGAGGGATCTTTGCAGGTTAAATTGCACAAATAATGTAAAAGCGGTTTGGATCATAATGCCATTACTGAATTCTTGTTTCCAAGATGCCTCGCCCTAGTGCCCAGAATGTGAGAAAAATGAATTCTCCAAACGTTCATGGACTCTCCGTAGGCGTTCCATCTAAAAAAAAATCCCTAACCATATAAACTCTTCTGTAGATCAACATCATAGGATGCCCACGTGCTGTGAGATGTTTGCAAGATGGAGGGAATTTTTACTGTCTGGCTCAGTATATTTGGGGCGGGGGGGAGAGATTGATTGATTGTTTGATTGTTTGATTGATTGATTGCCCAGGAAGAGCTTTAGAGGGAAAAGATGAGAGGTGTCTGTCCTGTGAGGAAGGCTATGGTAGCTTGATAGAGAGCAATACTCCTACTTTCTCCTAGGGGAAGGACTATGAGTAAAGTTGTGACTGCAAGTACAAGGTGGTTCCCAAGAGGCGGGGTGGGGGAGAGGGAATGTAGGACCGTGCTGCCTTTCAAATGGCTTAAATCTCTTTCCCTCCTGCAGAAAGAGAATAATTTCTAGCTTTAATACCGTTTTACATTATCAGGTTAAAGTAAATTTTCAAGGTGATGTGGTTGATCGTGGAAGCACTAATTTGGGAGTTAATCCAGCTGGTTTTACATTGCACTCGGCCATTTATGCTGCCCGACCAGACGTAAAGTGCATTGTTCATATTCACACTCCAGCAGGAGCAGCGGTAAGAAATTTATCTTTCTTGTAGCTCCAAAGTACCAAATAGTTTCCTGTAAAGTAATGTAACAGTAACGAAGGAGCAACGCTATACATGTCGGAGAAGCCATGTTGCTAAAAGGCCTGATCATATGCACAAGAATGAATGCATGTCTTCCATCCAGGGTCTTAAATTGGGTGTTTCCAGTGGAGTAAAGTGATCTTGGCTGAGCCCACAGGCAATACAGCTAGTTTTCCATACTTCAGTAGATTACAAATTTCCAGAATATATTTTAATACCGCATTCACAACTTTACCCTGTATTTCTTTTTTCCAACAACAACTTTATGGATATTAAAGCAGGGCCAACACTGAGCAAGCCAAAACCATGTGAGTCAGTTCCTCTGAAATATTGCACTTCCAACATATAGAGGTTGAAACTGGATTTCTGTTAGACATCCTCTGGGGTGTCCAGGAAAACAATCCATTGCTGAATTAATCATATCTTGAGATCATAGAATACTAATTTCACATTCTAGCCTATTGGTTTGTATCAGCAGGATTTCCAGCATATTGTTCTCAGTTGCCTGTGTCCCTTACCTCTCTTACTTTTCAGTGGTAGATAAATATTAATTGTAGATTTGAGAACTTTAAACTTTTCCTAATAATTCTAGTGGTTTAGGAATTTCAGACTTTGCTAATGTGTCAGACCAAAACTGTAAAATCAAAAGATGTTTAGTTGAATAGATTGCTATTCAGCAATTTTAGGAATCCCAATTTCTTTTTTTAAAACATGTTTTAAAAGACTGATTGAGAGTAAACTGATTCAGTAACATTGATCGCAATTTTTGCCCATGATTTCCAGAGGTATTTTCCAGGAATTTTCAGGCTAGGACTGTCCCATAATGTCAATTTTTGTGAGTTAGGATAAATGTTGAGCCTCCTTCCTAACATCATCCATATTTGTCTTGTGGCTTTTCAGATAAAGAAAAAAACTAACTGAAAACTAAATCAGGAACCAGGTCCCCGCCAAAATATTCAGGTGGCAAATAATAACTTTTTTGTTGTGCCCATAATGGTTTTTGAGATAGATTACTTAAATTCTGCAAAGTAGTAGAGGTCAAAATATAAGCCCAGTGGAATAGTTGGAAATCACGAAAATTAAACCCCTCGTGTTCATATGACAATCATAATTTAGATAAAGAAAACCTTCAAGTCTGACCATTTGATGAAACCTTTTTTCAGTATCTTATTGATCTAAGTTAAATATTTAACTGGAATTAACAAGGATTCTTCAACATAGATAATATCATTTATTTTTCCCCATAGACTCATAGGGACTTTTAGCCAATCTGTTTTTATATTAGGATCAACCTCACATAGATAAGTTCAGAAATTAACCTCTAGCAGCCAAGAAATCTTTCTAGGAATAATTATTCCAAGCTGTTTAAAGAACAGAAAGCAAACAACGGTAAGTTCTCAATTCTTACAGACCATAGACAGTTACATCCTGTAGAAAGTAGACTAATTCCAGTTAATGTAATAACCTGAAAAATAAATTTATCAAAGCATTCAACAGAGTCTCCAGTGATTTTCTAGTTGAGAAGCTGGTGAAATGTAGGCTGGGCTGTGCTATCATTATAGGCACACAGAGCTAAACTGAACAGTCATATCAAGCAAGTGCACCTCAGCTCACACAGCTGGGAAGGGCAACAAAACCATTGCCGAAAACGTTGGTTTCCACCCATCCATGCATGTAAACAGTGTTAGATGGAGAAAGTGCAACCTCATTGTTACTAAAGGAAGTGTCACCATCTAAAGCTTTGCATACTTTTCCCACAAAGATTGAATGTTGGCTTTGTGGATTCAATAAAGATATGACACAGTACACTTTTGGGGGGTTTCTTGTGTAACCAAAATTTATTTTTAAGTGTTTTTAAAAAAACATATTTTCACTACAAACATAATTTTTCATTCATCCTGTGGGAAGCTTTTTTAGTTTCTAATTTTCCCTTCATGCTTTAAGTTTTATTCCATGTTATTCTTTAGTGCATTATCTTGGGTTAAAGTATTCATTATTGAGAACTCAGTCCTTTCTCAAAAATGAGTTTTAGAGATGGCTTTTCCAGATGAGAGTATTTTTTCCCCACAACGGTTGTCTTCCCTTTGAGAACAGAAATTTATAGGTAAGATGATACTGATTTATGTACTTCCCTCCGTGAAATAAATCTGTTATAATCTCAGGTATCCGCAATGAAACGTGGTCTCTTGCCCATCTCACCGGAGGCACTGTCTCTTGGAGAAGTGGCTTACCATGATTACCATGGGATTCTTGTGAATGAGGAGGAGAAAGTCTTGATTCAAAAGAATCTGGGCCCCAAAAGCAAGGTGAGCACCCACACAATTCCAGTTGCAAGGAACTAGTCGAAAATGTGAAATCTTCTCTGACTTGCGGCATCTTTCTTTCTGTTCTCTTCCTCCTCAAGGTTCTCATACTCAGAAATCATGGTTTGGTATCAGTCGGAGAAAGTGTGGAAGAGGCTTTCTATTATATTCATAATTTGGTTGTGGCATGTGAGATCCAAGTAAGCCATATTATTTATTGATTTATCTATTTTAAATTGGTTTGAGAGTACTTGTAGCACAAATAGCTAAGGACAATATAATAAGAGAACTTCTGCTGAAAAGGTATAGCAGGGATTTAGCTTAATATTGAAAAATTGCAATTTTTGCATTGTTCTAATTAAAGAAATAAATTGGACTAGAGAGGTTGTAGTGTGGCATGTAACACAGACTAGACGTTATATTATGCTCGAGTTCTTGTTGTTCTTGTTCTTCTCATTACTTCTGTTCTGCTTACTTTAAGGTACGAACACTGGCCAGTGCAGGAGGGGCAGACAATTTAGTGCTGTTGGATCCTAGCAAATATAAAGCCAGGCCTCACTATCAAGAGACTGCAGCAGGGGAGGGGACAACATCTTACCCCAAATGGCAAACTGGAGAACAGGAATTTGAAGCCCTTATGCGAATGCTTGATAATTTGGTAAGGTAGACTCTGCTGCTAAGTATACAGTTGCTATAAGTGAGATGGGCGGTTATACAAATATGATTGATACATAAATAAATAATATCACAAAGCTCTTACGGAGGCTAGCACCCTCAAGATCTTGTTCTTCCTTAAGGAGAGTGCATTTGAAAGTGAAACAAAACATTCAAAACTTGATGGATCATCGCAGCTGCAAAGGAATCCTTCAGCAAAATTTAATATTCATTTTCTTCCAATAGAAGATACTATCCGTAGCTCAGGGTTGAACGTTTCATTAGGTTTCATTACTAGTTGGGTAATGAAATGTCTGCAAGCAAACAACCAAGCTCAGAGAGCACCAAGAACTCCACAATTCGTTTTCTTAGAAATACATCAGTGGGCTTTACTTCCACATTCAGAACTGTGTCCTTCATTCCTGATTTCTTGGTTCCTTCACAGGAAGTTTAAGGAAGCTGGAACCACAAGGAAGACATGTAGATATTCGTGATATCCTTGGCTGCCCCCTGTTGAAATGACCAGTTCCAAACTTTCCCCTGTTATTTAGTCAGAGAGGAAGGTGTGGCTCCTCCATACAATTGAGTAGAACCTTCCAATGTTCAGCAGAACAGGTTTCCATGCTTCAAACCAGAGAGGTCTCTTGCCATATATACTAGAGGGGAATGATGTCATGAGGATGGCAGTTGGAATTTAGACCCCGGAAGGAATCTGGTTATGTGATGTAGAAGCGGGTTCAGTTCAGAGGTCAGGTCAGGTAGTTATCACTGATTGCCATGTCTGTCTTCTGAAAGAGAATCGGAATATATCATACTTTGCAGCGATTATGGCTTAATATGTGCCAACCACATTGTTGATCTCGTTTAGTCTTGGCCAATTTATGGTCCGTTTCCTGGTGACCAGGGCTTCGTTCATTCAGGGCTTTTCAATTACAGGAAAGGATCAGTTTCTCTTGTCTGAAAATCAGCCTTCCTCAAGTTGGTGGCTTCCAGATGTCTTGTTCTATGTTTCTGCCATCCTCAGTCAGCCTGGTTATGACCTTCCTGCAGGGTACGATAGATAATAGTCAAACACAGACTAAGGCAACCAGTTAAGAACCGATATTGAAGGGAAAATCAGCATAAGAAGATATACGTCTGCATTATTGTACCTTGTTTGCATTTTGACAGCATTACATAATTCCGTTATTATTACTACGATACCTGCTGTCTAGCTGAGATACTGTTGGCAAAGATACAAAAGTTTAAACAGGATTTTGGAGATCCAAGGATTTTCTCTCCCCAAACAACAGCAGCAGAGAGGCCTCCTTGAGAGGAACATCCCAGAATGAACCCTGATAGTGCTGAACAGTAGTAACAGTGAGCAGACAGCACCAGGAAGGTCTTCTCCTTAGGAGCCCCCTGGAGAAGGCAGTGACTGGCTTCTCTTGGCCTTTCCTGTCAAAGTTGAGATGATGTTTTGCAGAACCCAAGTATCCTTTCAGTATTGAACATCAGTGTAGGACTGACCACCAATTATGATTTTTACTTTAAAATACAACTTGTGCTCAGTAGTTATTTTATGGAAAAACGTTTTGGACTGACAATCAGGGTTATAAATGTACTCACCACAAAGTGCAGTTTGCTTCTGTGCATATGTTGAAGTGGTGTAATCATTCAAGGACAAAACAACATAGACAAGGAAGTATAGATGAAATTGCTGTGTTTCTACTGAATACCAGATGTTCTTGACGAAGTTCTTTGCTGTGGTGTTTCTTCAGGGTTACAGGACTGGCTATCCCTACCGATGCCCTGCTCTGAGGGAGAAGACTAAAAAATACAACGAGGCAGAGGTTCCTGCTACCGTCACGGGGTATTCTTTTGCTAGTGATGGGGACTCGGGCACTTGTTCTCCTCTGAGGCATAGTTTTCAGAAACAGCAGCGAGAGAAGGCAAGGTGGCTAAATTCTGGCCGAGGGGATGATACAGCTGAAGAAGGGCAGGATGGCGGCAGCCCCAAGTCGAAGACTAAGGTGTGGACGAACATTACACACGATCACGTGAAACCCTTGCTGCAGTCTCTCTCGTCCGGTGTCTGCGTGCCAAGCTGTATTACCAACTGCTTGGTCTGTGCCTACCTTACTGTTCATAGTTAGATGATGTAGAGCGACTGTTGGTGGCAGGCGCTGGGAGGCTTTGGACGGGGAACAGCCTGGTGGATTTCCTTCCTTCCCCACTGCTCCATCTGAGAAACCAAACGGGGTAGTGATACTTGTCAGGGGGAGCGGGAAAGAACCATTTCTACATCTCTAGCAAATAGCAATTCGGTGGCCTCTCAGTTCTGTTTTATACACGCTCATTACTTAAATTCCTTTAGGGCAGACAAGTATTATGACATTTTCTGGAAACCCATTCTGGTTAAACTCAATACTTATTTTAAACTAAAAGCCTTATGACTGGGGCTATCTTGGCATTCTACTAAATGAATCACATGCCTTTAGACTCATTTGGACAGTTTCTGCATTAAACAAAATCGATGGGTTTGCTTTGGAATCTGTCAACGTCTGTTTTAGTTGAGATTTAGTTGAATAATTTAATTCTATGAATTGTACGTCCTCCAAAGTGCTCTGTCCGCTTTGCTCTTCTGTCTTTTTAAACTGATCCTGAAGCCTCCCAGGGTTCACGCCCTTCTGCATGAAATGTTGCATGTAAGTAGGTGGCCGTAATTGAAGAGTCTTTCCTGCAGGGTCAGCCGGGTGTGGCATGACTAAAGTGCGGCTCAGGTGTGGCCAGAAGCGGGGTTGATAGTGCTGTCTGCAAAGTGCCCTTCAGCGAAGGGTTTCAATCCTGTTGAGGCCGATGGTTAACAACTGCTTGGAGATAGTGATATAACATCCAGATGTGCATGTTGCTGGCGGGTGATGCTGGATTAATCTAGAGCTGAGCAGAAGAACCACTCAAGTCCTGCATAGCTATTCAAAGGGTAGCACCGTTAGAGTTCAGCATGAGAAATCATGCTGTTCAAAAATGGTCGCATTTAGTTCCTGTTTTCCTTTGCATACATTTTCTCTCTCGATGCAAAGTCCGGTGCTCCCTAAACTTGGGTTGCTGGGTTTTTCCTTTCAGAATTATTATTGGGGAATGTAGTTGCTCTTAGACGTGATAATGTCGTCTAGAAATCCACCGAGAAAACAGGAGAGATTCTTTGATTGTGGGGTGATTTTTTTTTTCCTTTTTTAAATGCTAGTACTGTCGGACTTTGAAATATCACTTCTTTTGGAAATAACAAAATCGAATAAGAGCTTTGTATTTTCTTAAGCACACAAATAGAGGTGAAGATCAATGTGAACTGAAAATATCACTTGAATACAATCTGATTTTGATATTTTAGTAGAAGAGCTTGTAATCCCTATCCATTATCTCTGGTGCCTGTATTTGTTTTTAAAAAATGTTTTTTTTAAATCCAATATGCTAAGGTTCTTAACATTGTTGTTAAATATCTTTAATAAAAAGCTGGAGTTATTTTTATGTGAAAAGATAAGAACCAGTGAGTATCCATAGCTCCATGTTCATTCCATTTTTTACTTCATATTTGCAAAACATTTTAAAATTATGTTGCTTTTTAAGGAGTTCTACTTCTGGCTTTTTGTCCCAGAATTATTTTTGGGAGGAATAGTATTATGTAAAAGTATAAAACAGATTTGATTCAGAGTTCAGAGCCTCTCTCTGCAATAACAGTTGTTTATTAATGGGGCCAAGCATAACCTTCTGAAAGAAGAAATCTCATATATTGGTAGCACAAACGTCTAACCTACTAAATTTACTGGCTAAATTAAGCAACCTCCTGCAAAAAAAAAAAAAAAAAAACCTTTGTAATTGCTTTTCTTTTAAGCTTCAGAGATGTGTTATTTTTTTAATATATGAAGCCGTAAGCTTTATATAAAACATACGACATCACCAAACTCTTCTGTTAGGCTGCTCCATCTATTTGTCTGTGTAAAAACAGTTTTGAAATTTATACTCTGAGTTTTATTTTGAATTTAAACTTTGGTGATGCCCACTCTTTCTTCATGGGACAGAATTATCCACCTAGCCTGGTTATCATGCTGCTTTTCATATTTCTGTCATCTTGTGGTTTCTGTTCGCTTTGATGTATTAAAATATCACGGAAGTGAATCAATGATGTGGATGGTTAAAGATGGTTGAGGAAAGGTTTCTTTTCTGATTTTATATTTCAGTAATCTAGTCCACCTGATCAATAGCCTGGCACTAAGCAGGCTTACTGCGCCCTGCTGGTTTATGAGGGATTTATTCCCATGAACAAAGCTTTACATTGTAGCCCAAGATAATTAATATGCACAGCAAAATAACCTGTTTTGGGAGGATGTCCTAATTATAATCTTGCAATGCTTAAGTTGTCTGCATTGCTGAAAAAGCCCTTGTGAGGTGTCTTAATACAGTTTCTAGATGCCACGTTCCTGTGTTGAGCTCGTACAACACAGCTAATCGGCTGCTTCAGAACTGAAGGGCAGCGGTTCTTTCATTTCTAGGGAAACATAATCATTGCTTCAGTTCTCCGTTGTCAACTCTTGCATGGTCTCCTGTACAATAACTTTGCTGTTTTGAGGATGCTGGGTATTTCAGCCCTTTTTTAACATGGCCGTTTCATGCTGTTGTTTACAGTGGACTAAAGAGGAGGGTCATAGGACTGTCCCATCCGCTGCCCAAAACCTGTTTGTTCCATTGAATACTAACCCAAAGGAGGTCCAAGAAATGCGGAACAAGGTTTGTATTGCCAAGAATGGGTCTTCTCTGGTGGATTCTTGGGCTGAACTATTTGGAGAGGTGCACCCTCCCTCTCTCTGCCCACCGTGGAAACCTCTGGAGAAGGAGGACTACTCAGGCCCAGCAAAATTGTCAGTTTGCTGGTGGGAGGCTGCAACCTTGCTGTGTAAGACTGACTGTAGCTGGGTACACTTGCTCGAGGAACTCTCTGCCCTTTCCTTGAACCTGGCAAAAACCAGGGTGAAGGGGCCAGGTATTGTGATTTGGGACCAGTCTGTGTTTGGCAGCATCAGAGAGGGGATCTAGATTTGAATTTTGGACGTATCCCGAGCTTTGGTTTGAACAAACAACCTATCCCTGCCCCATTGTTCGGTGAATCTCTTCGGGGTACCTGCAAAACAAATGCCCGTTCAGGCTAAGCACATTTGGAATGAAACAAATTAGGGCTTGGTGCAGGATCCAAGATCATCTGCCTGCTTTTAAAAAGATTTAATCAGGTAGAACTAATGAATCTATAGCTTGGCCAACTTGAACCAGCCTGACATGAAACTACTCCATGTAGAGCTCGGCCCTTTTGCTTCACCTGCCGGTGGTCCACCTGATACATTTTTTGTCTTTGACAGATCAGGGAGCAAAACTTGCAAGACATTAAAACTGCTGGCCCGCAGTCTCAAGTCCTTTCGGGGGTTGTAATGGACAGGAGCCTTGTCCAGGTGAGAACACAAAGCAGCTTCCAATGACACTCTGCATGAATTTGTGGTATCTTTCTGCTGTCCCCTAATTTATCCCTGTGAAATTATTCTTTAATTGACGGAAAGTAACTCTTTATCAGGTAAGTGCAAGAGGTAACCATGTGCTGTCTTTACGACCCTGCAGAGGGTTCAGCAACGCAGTGGGAGGGTGTCCCTAGCAGTGTGCTGGTTGAAATGGGTGTATTAGTTAGGTAATGTGGGATACTGAAAAAACCTATTACCTTCTTAAAAAAAAAACAACAACCCACATAACCTTGGATAAGTCAACACTAAGAGTTATAGGTTATGTCCAGGTTATTTCTAATGTACTTTCCTGGGTCTAACTACTTGTTATCAACATGGCCAGGATATCGCTAAAGTGGAGTTCAGGGTTCTTCTGCATGCTGTTCTATTGCTGCTGCTTGTGTATCAACACTTTAAATGTTTTTCTGCATGTTTTTAGCTTTTAGCTGATAATCTAAGCCCGAGCTTGGTTTGCTCTGTCTACTCAATTTCCTGTTTCAGGATGCTCCCCTCTCAGACTGTACGGAAACAATTGAAGGGCTCGATCCCACAGAGCAGGCCTTTAGTCCAGCTAAATCTGTCTCTGTTAGAAAGGTACTTACTGCACTGTCCTACTGCTCTCAATGCTCTTTCGCTTTTAACCTCCTTTTTACCCTAGTTTATAATCTCTGTTGTTGTTTGTTGGTGCAAAAGCAAATCTATGTGTTGGGTGTGAGTTTGTTGTTAAGTAGGATTCGTGAAGGGTTATAAGATTCTTTGAGTAATTTCATTTTAAACATGGTCTACGCCAGTATAATTCCCCAAATAGCTACAGATTTTACCAAGAATAGTTCTGCATGTTACCTAGAAGTAGAATTATGTGTTAATGGACCCCCGGTGGTCCATTTGTGGTTACCTGAAGTCTTTTACCACAAGCTGTACCAACCCATCTTCCCATGCACATTTGTGCATACACGCGCACACAGATGTGTCTCATTTACAGATGAAGCAGCAGGAGATAACCAAGGCTGCACCTTGTGGCTTTGTTACTGTTGGGTGATAGAATTTGGGGAGGGTGCGGGGAGCCTGACCCCGCAGAGTTTCATGTGGGCCTGGGCTGTAAGTTGTGCACCTTTGCTCTCCAAAATCCTCTCCAGTATAGCTCTGTAACTTGCAAAAGTTCTCAGGCATAATTTTTTGGTCAACCACATTAAAAGCTATGAAGAGATCTCTTAGAATCAGTGATGTGGCCCATCTTTCCCCAGGCAGCCAAGTTGCACATTGCATAAAATGGCAACAGTCACACATTCTAGCATTTTCCCCAGGAAAGATATATAATGCCTTGACTGAGAATTGCTGAGATCTGATCCATCCAAAGGTCACTGTTACTGGCTTCCGAGAAAGTAATGATGGGTTGAAGATGGCTCCATGAAGCGTGGAACCAACGATCCTGGCGAAGAATGAAGAGCCGGTGAGGCTCTTCGAACCTCTCCGGGCAAAAAGAGGACGGGGATTGCCCACAGTCGCTCCTCGTGGGGAGAACTCAAGACAGTTCTCTCCAGCAGGTTTTGAGCACTGGGAGAGGAGGGAATAACAATCTTGCTCAAACTGTGGTTGGCACCTTTAAAAGGACACTAAGTTTGCATTCTTCCTTTCCTTTTTAATAATTTTTATTGAGAATTATATAAAACTGATCAGGCTAATACAAAAATCAAATACAAAAATAGATTAAAAAGTGCAAAGAAAAAGAAAAAAAATCCCCCATCAGAAAAAAGTAAGAAGAAATTTCCCCCTTCATCCTCAGCAAGTATATACAACATTAACAACTTATCACTGTCTCTCAAAATACTACCAAATACATCTTCATTCCATACTTTACCCTGTTTTCTATAAACCCATCTCTAAATCCTCAGCTCTCCTTATGAATCAACGAAAGGTATGAAGATTAACAGACATAACTAGCAACATAAGCATTTAGTCCCCCTTTCCATTTAAACATAATCCCCTTAATCCCTCTCTTAATAAACAAAATCTCATCCCAACTGACAATTAAACATTACAAATGAATAAAAAATTTAACTACTAATCATCACCAGAGATAGCAACCCATTATTAAACCCAATTAACACTTAAACATTACAAAAAAATTAAACCCAGAAAATTATTAAACATTACCAGAAATAATAATCCCTTATTCGTTTACCAAAAATAGTAACAGATATTACAAACTAATCCATCTAATACTTGACCATAATCAAATAAACCAGTTTTATGTTTTTTTCTTCTTTCTCCCATCAATCCTTGAATCCCATAAAGTTCTAACATCCTTCTTCTTTTATTATTATTGTTTCTTTTTTTGAAATCTTTGTCATCCATATCAAAGTCCATATATATTTTTAGTGTAGCCGCTCCTATAAGTCTCTTATATTCCAATTTAAATGGGTAATCCACATCCCTCTTTTGGTATATTATTTGTATACCTTTTTTAATTTCCAAATGATCATCCAGTTCCATTTGTAAGTCCAATATTTCCATCTCTTTCTTATAGGTTATAATTTTTAAGTCCACCTTAAATTCCA